CTCGACAGTGGGCAATGTTAGCTGATATAGGGTCAGGCTGGAAAAGAGCTAGCGGCGGTCAAACCAAAACATGGCACCAATCAATGAAATCCACAACAGTTAATCTAAGCCACGTAGGAAGATGTAGACTTCCTGGTTGGGGCCCTCGGGATGGTAAAAACCAATGGTTGGAAACAATTGGTGACATGGCTCAAAATCGTTCTCAGTGGCGCAGATGCATCCACTCCTTGTGACTTATGATTTCCGATAAAACTGTTCGTTCTTCGTTATTATTACTCTTTTGTCTCACACCTCTGTTTACTGTCTATATTATGCATTTCTTCTACTTCCTTCTCTTGCTTAATGTGCTACATAGATTGTGGCGACTTGAACTGCCGCACATATGTGCAAAGTTCTATGTCGAGAACCGACCGACCGACCGAGCATATAATGAAGGAAATGATGGTTAAAATATCAGTAAGATCGAAATTGAAGAAAAATCAACATCAGGGTTACAGATAATGCACTCCATTAACTTAGCTACAAGACCCATTTGGCTTCAAGTGCCTAGGTTACTGTTTATTTATAATGCAAAGTATCAGGCAAAAAAATGCCATATTATAACTGAAGCTGAAGGAATATTGGTCTTTTCCTCCGAATTATTAAATTATTACTAAAAACACAAACTTGATACATTATGGGTACCAAGGGATGCATCACATGGAACCTCATTAGTTTGTGCAACGTCTGGGATACTACCCGAGTAGGTGGTTGCTTTAAGAGACCGACCCCTGAGCTTATGACTCGAAATCTGATCCACAAGGCAGTGGAGCGGCGTCAGCAGCCACGTACCCACGGTTAATGCATCATTCGATCCTTTCAGATAAAGTACATTGGGAAATAATATTAGTGTTATCAATAAATTACAGTCAGATGGGAAATAAGATGTGTTTTTTTGCAGTAAAAATAAGCAACTAGTAAGAATGTTATAATGTGAATTGAAATAGAATTTTAAGATTATTTATTATCCTCCTCTGATTTGACTGGTAATAATATCTTCCATATCTCTGGTATTTGCGTTGAATCCCTTCTATTGCATGTGTTGGGTGTAGACTCAGTGAACAAGGATTCAGTAATCAACCTGTATCGTTCTCCACCTACCTCTATTACTTCTTAGAATTTTGACTCTGTCCTACCCACCCCTATTGTGTGTTGATGCATACAGTGTTATTGCTGTTTTTTTCTAAATTACTTATCTTGGTCGGATCAATCATTGTAAATTCTTATGTTATGATAATCTCACTACTCCTGATCTACTAGTTTGACTTATGTAGTTGACCTTACTCACAGTCATTGCAAGGTATTTTCTAAATTATATTATTTTGTTTAATTGAGTCCACCGGGTCGTTTAGCCTACAGAGCTTGCCCTACCTGAGTGAGTTTGTAGGTTTGAATACCACCCTAATTCCTGCTTTATTGAGAATCCTACATGTGGGGTCTCAGATGTCCCCTCCTTATATGGCAAAATTGTAGATGTCTTATATTCTCTCTTATTTATGTTATCATTATTAGTTTCACCATAACTGATATCAATCCGTGATCAACTCGTAAAAACAAAACTAACCCTTACAAACCAAACCATAGAATATTAATCTGATGCTCGCTAGTGACTTGCTACAGGATGGAGTTTCCTGGAGTTCTAGTGAGAAGTCGTGACCAGTGAGGTCCATCCAGATGTCACGTGTGAGGATGGATATCCCACCTACGAAAATGGTTGGGGTCACGCTAAATCACGAATTGGTAGAAGTTAGAATTCATGAGCCATTGAATCGGATCCCAGTGGTTGAATGGTATACGAGCTCGCTAGCTTTGTAACCGGAAGGTCCTGGGTTCGAACTCTGGCGGTGGGTGCGTACTACCGATGATTCCCAAACTATGATGAAACAGTTGGCTGTCCAGTACCCCCTGCTTGTTTTCAATGGTTCTCTAACTGATATCAATCCATGATCAACTCGTAAAAACAAAACTAACCCTTACAAACCAAAGTATAGAATATTATTTTTAAACAAAATAATATAAGTGATGACATTAAAGCTGTGGTTTACTTTAAGTAAAGGCCATCTTATTAAATTATCGTTTGATTATTAATAGGTAGACTGTGCGTCGGTGGCACAGTGATTAGGACTCTCGCCGACCATGCACATGGTTCGGGGTTCGATCCCTTGCCGACGCACACCCGATATCAATGGTCGGCCTGCAAAATTTGGACTACCGATATCACATGCTGAAAATTCCATACTTGTACCAAAAATACGGTGTGGGATCAAGCTATAATCAAAAATCAAATCAAAAAGTATATCAGAACTAAGCGCAACATATTAAATCAGAAGGGGAGATGGCGTATGAATATCTTGTTAGCTGATATATACACTCTCCTTGTTTCCATGCGACTAGCTAACTAACTAACTGTTAAGACTGCCTATTGAAAAAAAAACCATAGTAGATAAATAGTCCTGAAAGAAGAAAAACAAACACTGTCTAAACTGTTAAAAGGAATAACAATTAATAAATAATTGGCTATTTAGAAAAACATTTCAAAATAGCAAAATAGCTAACTGTTTATTACATATATTTTCATAATCAAAACCTCAAGAATAAAAATTCTAAGTCATTTTATAAATCAAATCAATGTTACTATGGTTTCACTTTTCTTTTGTAACTAACATTGTAGTAGTAATGAAAATGTCTAAATCAGATAAAACAGAATAGACTTTAGTGATTGACTGATTGATTGATGAGGTTGGGATTTTAAAGGCTTATTTCAATAAGTAATAATAATAGTGATAATAATTATAACAGCTTTATTCCAAACAGTATTTGTGGTACAGGTATGGAATTTTCAGCGTGCATTACAATATTGCATCTAATTACCTCATAAATTTTATAAGATTTTAAAAACAAAAAGCAACAACCAAAAACATAAATAAATAAAAAATAACAGCGTTGCGTTTACATATTTAAACAATGCACCACAGGATATGAAATATAAAATTAGTGTGTAATAGATGTGAACAACAATATAATAGTAACGAAGAAAGGAAAACAAAAACTAATTGTTAGAGTGCCACAGTAAGTTGATCATGTCATACCTAACGGATTTCTCATCACATAACAGCTGTGCCAGATAAGGTATTGTGGAGTTTTGTACTTGGTAGTCCTAGCATATAGCCTCCTATAGCTGCTTCTAGTTCTACCAGATGAAATGCAAGGAGAGAGCTGCGTATAGAGAGGGTGTTCGGGGTCTGACAATATAGTATTCGCTAGTTTCTTACATGACATTATATGTCTATCCACAGTAGTGTTAACCAGTTGGTTTAACGATATCCCACTTGCCCTACTAACAGCTTTTAGTGCCCTTCTCAGCAAAGCAAAATCTTTCTTAAGTAGTCCAGGAAAGATTAATGGGGAGCAGTAAAGAGGGATGGGTAGAATACAAGAATTGACAAACTGAGAAAGCAAGGACTGCTTTATACCAGACTGCCTTAATTTCCTAACGTAGAACGTTAAGCGAAACATCTTTCTAGTAACTAGCAAGATGTTTACTGGCCTCAAATTGCCCAAAATTGAATGTACTATTCAGTCAAAATGTCTCTAAATGTATACATGAATAATAGGTAGTTGTATAGTCAAGTAAGTGAGTGACTGACTGAGTTTGAACACAGAACCCTGCACAGAAGTGGAGCAGTTCCAGTTGCCACACTCCATGTAGTACACGAAAGTAGACAATAAAGAGAGAAAGAAGACATTCAAAAAAGCGCTATGATAAGCAGAAATATGACGGAAAAGGAATAGTAACATGGGAAAAAATGACAGTCCAATAGATATCAGGGAGGAATGTATCTGCACCATTGACAACGATGTTGAGCCATATAATCAATAGTCCCCAGCCATCAGGTTCTTCGCATCCCGAGGATCTCAACCAGGCAATCAACACTCCACAAAATGTGGCTTAAACCAACTGTTAAAGACTTTATGAACTGATGCCAGGTTATGGTTTGACCACCGATAGCTCTTTTACAACCTAGTTCTATGTCGGCTAATATTGCTCGTCAAAGGAGACGTTGGCCCATAGTATGCGCAATACGTGTCTTAGCCGTCTAAATCGATATAGTTTTAAAACCTTATCAACTGACTTCTTTTCCTTACCTAGCTGTAATGTATTGGTAATAGAAATTCACCTGGAGCATGAAATAATGATTTCAGGTTCATTACGTAACTTAATTACGTAAATTTTTAATCATGATTTCAACTTGTTTAAACTCCTAAAAGAAGTGGCAACTAAATGTTTATTATCATCATCTTTATCTGTTTTCCAAGTAAATTTCAAACCCCCCCCCCCCAATAAACCCGAAAAAGAGAGACTTGGAACGGTCTTCAAAGAGACTGGGAACCTCACCGCCAGTATAATCGACGCCATAGGCTACTGAAATATCCGAAGCTTGAAGCCATATACAATCAAATTGGAGAGCAGGGCATAGAAAAGAAGGATAAACTACAAAAGTTTAAAAAATGAAGCCTGCCATGATACTGTCATATGGGAAATTCCTCCCCAAATAATAATGATAAGTGCGAACTATCTCCACCTTAATTTCATCATACACAGTGAAGTTTAAAAAACAAAATATTAAAAATCCCCTTGTATTTCTGTTTGCTTAGGATTTTGTCAATAACCCAGAGGATTGTTTTCATCATTTCTTGCATTCCGTGTGGAACATAGGACTTCAAGCTTCTGATGTTTCAGTAGCGGTGGGGTTGCTATCCTCACACGTCCAACCTCTACCTTTTTCTGGACTTATTACCACGGCTAAGCAAGGTTTATTGAGTGCATCGAGCCACATCTTCCGTGTGTGGTGGCTGGCTAGCGAGCATTCTAATCCCGAAATGTAAACCAAACAACAATATAGTAGAACAAAAAACAAAAATACTTCGAAGAGGAAAAATAATCTCATTCCCGGGCTTACTTTATTATTTTGCATTGATTGATATAAACGACCAAGATTACCGAAATGTTTCGCTGTCTGAATATTCCATAATCCAAATGTCTACAGAAAAAGAAAATACAATACGAGAAGTGGTCAGAATACACTATCATCATCCATACTAGAAAGACAATGCTATAGGAATTACGTGCGTCGGTGGCATAGCGGTTAGGACGCTCGTCGACCATACACATGGTCCGGGGTTCGATCCCCGGCCACCGACGCACTCCTTTACTTCGCTAAGCCAGAAATAATGCTGGTGAAGAGGAAAGGTTGGGCATGAGGCTAGCAACCCCATCCTGTAAAATAAACACTGCTACAGAAACTTCAAGCCTCTAGCTTGAAGCCCTATGTTCCACTGGGGAACGTGAAGGAAAAAAAATAGGAATTACAATTGTAAGTTTATTGAGTAGTTAACGAATTCAAATTATGCATTAAATCAACTTTTAACACTCCACATTGTTTACATGATAACAGCAATATGATATGACGTATACGTGTGTATACAGGTGTAATGAGAAGAAGGCTTGCGCACACATTAGTCTTCATTAGTATAACGTCAATTATAGGTGAACACCTGCAATATAACTGGTTATATTCTTGAAGTAATCAGTTTCTTGTGTGAAAAAAAAAATGAGACACGTGAGGAGGTTAGTAACCACTTTAAAAAGTACAAAGATTTATAATTTAATCATATTTAGGATATGAATCTTATGATATCATTATCACTATGTAAATATTACAATCACACACACATACATATTTAATTACAGTCCTTATACTAATACGGCTGAAATAACAGGCTTTATCACATGCAATCACCTTCGGAAATCATTAGAGGTGTATACAACCAAAGGATTAGAGACATGAATCTCAGCCATGAACATTTACGTCCGTGACTACTACGTTGGTCGGTTTTCGACATAGAACTTTGCACATATGTGCGGCAGTTCAAGGCACCATACTCCATGGAGCACACAAAGCAAGAGAAGAAAGTAAGAGAAATGCATATTAGAGACAAAAAACAGAGGTGTGAGACAAAGGAATAGTAATAACGGAGAAAAAAACAGTTTCATTAGAAATCATGAGTCACAAGGAGTGGATGCATCTGCGCCAGCCATTGAGAACGATTTTGAGCCATGTCACCAATTGTTTCCAACCATTGAATTTACCATCCCTAGGACCCCAACCAGGAAGTCTACACCTTCCTACGTGGCTTAGACTAACTGTTGTGGATTTCATTGACCGGTGCCATGTTTTGGTTTGACCGCCGTTAGCTCTTTTCCAGCCTGACCCTATATCAGCTAACATTGCCCACTGTCGAGGAAGGCGATGACTAGGCATGCATGAGTAACACATGTCCTAACCATCTCAGTCGAAGTAATTTCACAGTCTCGTCGATTGATTTCCCCGCCTTACCTAGCACTCGACGCCTAACCTCAATATTCCTCACCTTATCATACCACTTCACGCGGGAGATAGAACGCAGACACTTATGATCGAACACAGCTAATCTTTTCATGTCTTCTACTCTCAATGGCCAGGTCTCACAGCCATAAAGGAGGAGGGAACGGACTGTTGAGCAGTACACACGCCCTTTGGTCGATAGTCGGATATCGGGTCTACGCCAGAGACGGCGTAAACTGGCATATGCGAACCTAGCCCTCTGTATTCGTGCTGAGATTTCGTCGGAGATCAACCCGTTGGGGCTGATGGTACTTCCCAAGTAAGTGAAATGGTCAACGTGCTCTACCACTTTACTTCCTATTTCTAATCTAGGGGTCAGTGAAGTCCAATCCTGCAGTATCATCTTACATTTTACAGGGGCGAATCGCATGCCAAACATACGAAGATTGTTGCTCAGGGTGTTCAGTAAACTCTGCATTTTGTCAGAGTCCTCGCCTAGAAGGACTATATCGTCCGCATATTCTAAGTCGACGAGATTATTCCCTGGTAGCAAGTCAATCCCTGGGTCGCTGAAGTGTGTTAGGGTTAAATCCATTAATACGTCTATGATGAAGTTGAATAGGAATGCGGATAATGGGCATCCTTGACGGACGCCACTAGTCGTCACCACTTCAGATGACAACTCGCCATAGGCCCACACCTGGCTGCATGAGTACGAGTAGAGTGCCTTAATCAGTGCAATGTATTTTCTCTCGGCATTCCCTTTACAGCCAAGCATCGCCAGAGACCCTCTCTGTCGACAGAACCGAATGACGCCTTTAGGTCAAGAAATATAATGATTGTCGGACGCCGGTAGGAATGCCTATGTTCTAGAATCTGTCGAAGGGTGAAGATATGATCAATACACCCTCTTCTTGGCCTAAAACCTGCCTGGTTTTCTCGTGTTTGTGCCTCCCGAGCACCACTTAGTCTACGCAGTATTATTGAGTCTAGGATTTTAGATACTATATTAGTCAAGCTAATCCCTCTGTGATTATCACAAGAAGACTTGTCTCCCTTCTTGTATATCGGGATGATCAGTGACTTACACCAACCCGATGGGACTTCCTCTGATTCCCAGACGCTGCCAAGAACCTCAGTTAACGCAGACAGTAAACTGTCTCCACCGTACTTAAATACCTCTGGAGTCAGTCCATCAGGTCCCGCTGCTTTGCCTTGCTTCAGATTAGTGACAGCTTTAGTAACCTCAATTAAGGACGGAGGACCTGTGTCTATATCCCATTCAGGGAGGTGACTACTACACAGACAGTTATACACAAGGCTTCCTGCCGATTGCCTCCAACTATCTAATATCATCAAATCAATGTGCACCGTGATGGTGAGCTACCTAGTATGGTGGCCATATTGCAAAACCTGACTGATAGAATTCAGTCTGCACCAAAGAAAGGACTAGACACGGCACACTAGTTACTAGTGTCCAATCAAAACACTGTTAGCCATCGCATCAAAATTATAAGCAAAAACAAAAACTTATAATCAACTGAATACACAATTAACGGTAGGTCAAAAGTTGTGGTATAGCTTTAAGGTAATAGGATAATTTGCGTGGCTTTGTAGTGGTCATGTTAGATAAGCTTACCTGATATAACACAGTAATATGGTATTAGTATTATCAATATTATTATTATTACTCAAGTGTTGCTTTACAGGGATTTGATTTGATTGGTTACAGGATTTTATCATGAGCTGACATCGGTTAGAGAACCACTGGAAAACCAGCGGGGAGTAATGGGCAGTTTTTTTCGTCCTCGTTTGGGACTCTTCATCAGTACACACCCACCGGGGTTCGATCCCAGGACCTTCTGGCTACAAGGTGAGCTCATAAGCCATTAAAGCCGTTGGGACCCGATCGAATGACCCCTAAATTCCAACTTCTGTGAATTCACGATATAGCGCGACCACTAGCCAATGTCATCCTCGTTGAGTAGTTATCCTCACATCCGAACTGCTGTACTCAATTGGTGGTACTGTATTACTGTGTTATATTAGATAAACTCACCTGATATAGTATTACTACAAACCTGTCCAGATTTCTTTCGAAACTATTAAATATGAACTTGGTTTGGACATGTATAAACTTAAATGAAATGATACTGTCCACTGTAGATACAGGATAGCTAACAATCACTGTGTAATGCAAACGGCAAGTTTCTTCGTTAAAAAAATCACTTCTCGCACTTAATAATTACATGCTTACTGAACATACACATTGTTAGAATGACAGAGGCAGAATAAACCATGTAAGCTGTAGTAAGCATAAACAATAGATACTTAACTGCTGATACTATCGATGTCCAGACATTACCAATAGATATACTTTTATTATGGTTGATAATCCGAAAGATTAGTTGCGTTCCACTACATTTTTACCAAGTTCCTGTTGCTTAATACGACGTCAGAGTACTGTGCTGTACTGTAATCCACTAGATGACTCAATTGTATTCATATAGTAGGAATAATGTTAGGTGTAGGATAGATGAGTAGAAATATAAGTTTTAAGATAGATTTATATATTTTAACAGATTCATAAGTGCTCAAAGAGAAAGAAACATTTAACACGATTAATTTATTGCGTAAGGATTCATCTAGTGAAATATTAATTATACTATAGGAGTTACAGTCAAAACTTATCGTCGGAATTCGCAACAAAAGCTTGAACTTTTGAAGAAGTATGACATCAAAATACGTGAATAACACAATCACTGATCATCGGATTACACCACAGCTTACAAATGAGTAATGAAAACCCTTGTTGATAATTTTAGTGACTATTTTCAACTGAAGAACAGTTTTTCTTTTGAAATCACACAATTAAGTAGGCCAAGAGATGACTCAATCTAATAGTGTTTATTCTATTTCAGTGAATTTATTCTAAAGCCTTGGTAAAACCAACATATATACTGACAGTTAACATGTCGGACTGAAATCTTCAAGTATTGGTATTTGTAGGGATTTTCTTTGATTGGATGGAGGATTTCATCATGAGCTGACATCAGTTAGAAAACCACTGGAAAATCTGGAAGTACTGGACAGCCAGCTGTTTCGTCCTAGTTTGGGACTCTTCATCAGTACGCAGATTGAAATCTGTACTACAAGTACTGGAGAGAGAGAGAGAATAGTCTATAGTCAAGAAAATAAAATGTATACAGAAATTAGAAGATAAAGCAACAACAATAGGCACAAAGACTTACACGTTCACAAAGTTCTAAAGACTCCATGTGTAGATCACGTGCCAGTTTTAAATCTGCACTTGTTCTAGATGGATCATTATCATCTATTGCAATCTCTTCAATGATCAAGGCTAGAAATAATATGAATAATTAACACATAGTGTTCACTTCTTCACCGTAAATGAATGCAATACATACAGACTGAAAGCAACTAAGAGTGTTATATTTTACAAACTCGGCTTAACAACAACAACAACCACAACACCTTACGGTAATAGGTAAGATTTAATACAAATATCAAGAACACAACTTCTCTTAACAATACCGTAAAATAGTGGTTTAGGTGGAAATATCTTTCAAAGAAATATCCAAAAAGTAGTCTAATTCACTATTCATTCAGAGTACATTTCACACTTTCATTTTACTAAGTCCACCCTCCCCCCCTTTACAAGAGAACTCTACGGTTTTTTTTTAAAATTTGCGCTCAAGATTCTAAAACTTTATTAGAAGAAAACAACGAATTGAGCTCTTCACAACTCATAGTTCCTTATCAAAGGCTTGACCATTATTATTTTTATCAACAAAATATCCATATTTAATTGGTGAATGGTGACTAGCAGTGGAATCCAGGACAACGCGCATTTCGTCCTATTTGGGACTCGTCATCTGGATTTACCTGCATTCCCCAGTGAGTGATGATGTTCCCACCGAGGCTCGAACCCAGTGCCCACAGTTTCAAATGCCAGCTGACGAGTCCCAAATAGGACGAAATGCGCATCCTGGATTCCACTGCTAGTCACCATCCACCAATTAAATACAAATTAAATGCCCAGACATCGTCGAAGCATCTGCACAAGAAGCCGACATGTCAACCTGAGACCGAGCACTTCGGTCCAATCAATCGACGGGAAAATCTAAAAAAATTCAATTACAATATCGATATGTTAGTAAAAGAAAATGATCAATTTCAAGGTGGGTGATAGACGTGAAAAGTGAAAAGTAATGAAGGAAATCAAGATATCAGTTAGTTATTAAAGGATAAGGCCATACACCTACCTATAACATAAAATTATACAGTTTAGTTTGTAGAAGACCTAGGCAATATACAATCAATCGATAGTTGTTAAGAAATCAACTTATAATTATTGTTAAAGATGAATTTATCACTCGGTAATAATTAGGTAAGAAAAAAAGTTAAAATTCAAAGAGGTCAAGTGAATTCGATGAAATAGTAAAAAAAAATAATCATATAGATTAATCGATAGAAGAATAGGAGAAAGGATAATTCTTTAGATGATTACAGCAAAGAAAGAGACTGTAGGAGCACAAATTATTTCGCCAATTCATATAATAAAGTACTAATTCCCTATGAATATGTGTAAAAGCCAGATTTATGAAAGATGAGTAAGGTAAAATGAGATACAATAAATAACTTCAAAAGCTCTATAAATGTCAATTTGATGTTGTATATTTACTAATCAGGTGAGCTAACATAGATCTATGTATCTCATTAGTCGGCCATACGCATCGTGGGGTTGGCTCTCCAGCAATTGAAGCATAGCTGGAAAAGTTAAATATCAACGTCTAACTGGATCACAAAAAGGAATCTGAACTTCTGTAAAGTTTCACATATAACTTGCAGATAGGTGTGCTTGAAACTGATCAAACTCAAGTTTAATGTTTTTGTTAATCGATTGGCGTGTCACAAAAAGGATTTTTAACAAGTTACAGACTTTTAAATTTTTAAATTTTATTTTGATTACAGCTTGATGCCACAGCGTATTTTCAGTACAAGTATGGAATTTTCAGCATGGATGTCGGTAGCCCGAATTTTGCAGGCCGACCATAGATATCGGGTGTGCGTCGGCAGGGGATCGAACCCCGGACCATGTGCATGGTCGGCGAGAGTCCTAACCACTGTGCCACCGACGCACAGTTGCCCACTTCGCTGGCTCAAAAAGAAAGAATTAGCAACAAGAAACTATGGCTGGCCGGGAACAAACCAACCAAGAACCGATTGCTCAGCAAAAATCTGTAAGAGAAAATGGAAATGGATTGGGGATACGATGAGGAGGCCGTCGACCGACATCGTGCGAGAGGCAACCCCCTCGATTGGAATCCCAACGAGAAGCGACGAGTGGGTCTTCGGTGCGACGGTGACATGGAGGAGATCATGGGAGGAGATGAGAGATTATGGGCAATTGTGGACCCAGGTGAAGAGGGTAGCAGAAAATAGAATAAAGTGGAGATGTATTGTTGAAGCCTTATGTTCCACTCAGAACCCAAGGGAGTAATACTACTAATAATAATCGATTGTTTAATATCAGAGTTTTCAATTTATCGACAACTACCCTGAGAATCTAATACAATGATTTTGAAAGGATACTTTAAATACTACCAGCAACCTTTATAAGATTATCTGTGCCCAGGTGACTGTTTTCTGTGAATTTGTCTTTTTCAAAATCCTGTGAATTCCTGAAGAGTAAGAAGTATCTAACAAACAAAAAAACTTTCGTAAGCCTCTCTTCTTGCCTATCTTTTCTACAAACTGATAAACTTGCAAAGGTGTACAACATAGATATTTTGCTAAGCCGCCAATGAACACTTGAGAAAACAAAGCGAAAACAACAAACACAACACACACATACTACAACAAAATCAATTCTACAGTATATATATATATATATTAACTCAAATATATAATCAAGAGATAAGACGATTCACTGAAAAATCGAATCAACGAACTCTCAATCACGTGTGGATATCTGGACGATGGTTTTATCTTGCATAAACATAAGATCATTCTTGAAGTTCTTCTTCTTAAAACGTTCAGCATAGCTCACTCAGAAATTGAATTCACACATGAAACAGAGACACCCTGCTAAAGAAAAGGCCAGATGAATGCATCAAGCTGGATATTTTCCATTAGAATTCATAAGTTGGCTAAGAGAATACAAGCTAAATTTCACCGATACTCTAGTGTTTAAAGCTAGAAAGAAAAGTACAACCGATACTTTGAAGGCATCGGTGGTTCACTGGTAGGACGATTGCCAAACACGCGGAAGGTCCGGGATTTGATTGCCGACTGATACACTCTTTAAACCTAGCTTGGCTGGTAGTAATCCCGGTAAACAGGGAAAGCTAGCAACCTCATCCCGTAAAAGAGACACTACCATTACTGAAACTGCAAAGCTTGAAGCCCTGTGTTCCACTTTGAACGACGGAATCAGGAAAATACAGAACTCACTACATGAGAACGGATATCCAGAGAAGTTTGTGAAGGTTCCCATGATGAGAGCAGATATGGCGAAATGCTTGCACAAAGTGCAGAAGAAACGTATGTACAAATAGCCTAATCATTCAAAAGTAATGCAACTAATGAATTATTAGTATGGAAACTCAGAAAAATAATAGCTAAAGCATTCTTTGCCACAACATTGTTGAAAATTCACCACCAGTTGTGTGATTGCAACGCAGGTGAAGGATGAGCTACCGAGTCTGGCCACTTCAGTGTGCTTCTATGAATCTAACTGCTCTTGTGAAGACAGTTACATGAGTGGACCGACTTGGTAAGTCCACAATCGCATTTTTCAGCATTTTCCAAATTGGTTAGAGGAAGGAGCCACGAGGTCAACCGGAGGCTCCATACTGGCACATTTAGAGGATACGGAACACAAGATTAATAAGAATTCATCCTTTACCATTCTATACAAAAAGTGCCCATCTGAATTCTTCAGGTTTGTAAGCCTTCGACTGATTAGCAATTATCATCAAAAATTTTCAGCCTCATCCATATTTGAACAAAGCAAGAACAACAATTGTACCAGGATAATATGAGCTCATCTTTTATTATTATTTCGAGGATTCTTCTCAACTGGTTACAACCTGAACGACAAAAAAATATGAATTACATTAAAGATTTGAACATACTTTTCCACGATCACAAGGAGTAATTGTTAGGAAGTAAAAGTAACATTAGTCTGGAATGATTTAACTAATTAAGACTTACAAACACTGACTATTTATAGAATAATTAGACAATTAGACTTGGAAACAAAAACAGAGTTGCTTGTTGATTATTTTGAACCTAGCTTGCTACGCTTTGCTGAAGCAATTGCTATCAAACGACTTAAACCAAATCTATGTACGCAGAAAGAGACAGTGGTGAATCTTGCACTGCCCTGGTGATAACAAAATATACAACTTTTATGAGTCACCCTTTTTCTTGTTTAGAAAACTCTACTCTCTCATCTAGACATGACTCACCCTACCTTATTCTTTTCTCTACCTTTTTCTATTGGCTATTAGATAAAACATTTTCTTTAGTTACGTAATCTACTTCTTTTATGCTCTTTCCAGCTTAACCTTGTTTCTATACACACATATATATACGCAACTCTGTTTTTGTTTCCAAGCCTAATTGTCTAATTATTCTATAAATAGTCAGTGTTTGTAACTCTTAATTAGTTAAATCATTCCGGACTAATGTTACTTTTACTTCCTAACAATTACTCCTTGTGATCGTGGAAAAGTATGTTCAAATCTTTAATGTAATTCATATTTTTTATCGTTCAGGTTGTAACCAGTTGAGAAGAATCCTCGAAAAATAATAAAAGATGAGCTCATATTATCCTGGTCAATTGTTGTTCTTGCTTTGTTCAAGTTTATTAATGGGAAGAATTGCATGAAGTTTTTGAAGAAACGTCTCTCTTCTCATCCATATTTTTCAGAAAACGTTTGCCTAACCACTTTCTCTCCCACAGAATTCACTCCCCAACCGAGAATAGTCTTCTGTCTCGGTGAGACCAGATAACTGTAAAAGTCTTTGTCTGCATTGTTATCTTTAATTTTTATCATCATACTGTGTTGCAATTACATATATTTTTTTTTAACTCAGTGTTACAATTTATTATACAAAACCAGTCACTTGATTATGTAATCGCTGTGAAACAAGACATACTTTTCTTCTCTACCCCCACAGTTACACACATTCTACTTACATATTCACAAGGATCGGACGATACCTAGATTATATATAAACACTTGCATGAATTTGTCCTTATTATTATTGTTATTATGATCACCTTGACTATTATCCATAAATTCATATGTCCCAAATCTAATTCTACTAACCACATTGATGTAGAATGTCTATGCCTAATAGATTTATTATGTGATTGTAAATTCTAATGAAAAATTACCAAGGAGACGTATTCACTTAAATTTTGTTCAGGTGATTCTCATAACAGGAATATTTAAATTCCTATAAATTGAAACTATAAAATCACCCAGAGTCTAAAACGCCGATATAGTGTGACTGACTGACTGGTTTCAACGTAGAACCTTGCACAGATGTGTAGCAGTTCAGGTTGCCACACTCCCTCCATGTACCACACAAAGCAAGAGAACAGAGTAAATAGAGATTCAAAAGAGAGATGATAAACATAAGTGGAAGGGAAAAGAATAGTAATAGGGAAGAACAATAGAATTTTATTGGATATTATAGATAGATTGGGTCCAAATAAATCACAAAGAATGGATGCATCTGCGCCAGCTATTGAGAACGATTTTGAACCATATCACCAGTTGTCTCCAGCCGTCATTGGTATTTACCATTCCGAGGACCCCAACAAGTTAGGAAGTCTACACCTCCCTACGTGGCTGGTTGGCTGGCTTAAACTAACTGTTGTGGATTTCATTGACTGACGAGGCTATGTTTTGGTTTGACCATCACTGACTAACTTTTCCAACCCGATCCATCCTATGTCAGCTAACATTGCCCGTCGAAGAAGGCAATGCCTAGACATCAGTAACACATATTCTAATCATCTCAATCGGTGTAACTTCACAACCTCGTCAATTGATTTCCCCTCCTTACGCAGCAATCAACCGATGCCTAACCTCAATATTGCTCATCTTATTATACCACTTAACACGGGAGATAGAACGCAGACACCTATGATCAAAGACAGTTAACCTTTTCATATCTTCCACTTTCAATGTACTGTTGAGCAGTACAAACGCCCTTTGGTCGACAGACAGTCGGATATCGCGTCTACGCCAGAGATGGTGTAAGTTAACAGGCAAATGCCAAACGAGCCTTCTTTATCCGCGCTGCGATTTCGTTAGCGTTCAACCCGCTGACGTTGGCTGATGCGACTCCCCAAATAAATGAAGTGGTCAACACACTGTACCACTTCACTCCCTATCTTTAGGCTAAGAGTCAGTGTAGTCCAGTACTGTAGCATCATCTTACATTTGACGGGGGCGAATCGCATGCCAAACATTCGCAGATTGCTGCCTGTCAAGGTGTTCAGAAGACTCTGCATTTCCCGACCGATAGCTGCTATCTTGAAGTGGTGATCGGGCTTGTGTATATCGCAATGACCCAACAAGCTACACTAGCTGGAAATAATATTCCTACAGGTCATACCATACCAGGAAGATTGTCAGCATAGCGATTAGACTAAAAGCAGTTACCAGCATAGTGTACGTTTTTTTACACTATGCTGGGAGTCTGTGAGCGAAGTCATACTGCTGGGGAACAGGGATGTAACAGCCACAGTAAGGTGTTTCTCTCCACTCTGGAGAGAAGGGGTTAGAAAAGGTCGACCCCAACAATTGTACATCCCGACTTACCGCACGGTGGTCCGTAGCTGGCGGTAAGTTACTAATACGGAACCAAACCAAAAAGCCAGTTGTCCCCTGGGCTCTGCAGTCACGCAACACTAATTCTCTTTTTGTTTCAGGTACCTCCCCCCAGAAAAAAATACTAGGACATAGTGTTGCTGAAATTCTACAAACCTTCATTCTATGATAAATGATTAAGATGAGATTCAAAGATAGATAGATAGAGATAAGACAGAAAGAGAAAATATAACAAGGCGTTACTTTTGAGACATGTTTAAAAGAATAAGGAGTAGTATATATATACATAGAACTTCCTTCATCACAAATGCATATACTGTATTAATCAGGTTAAATATAGAAAACCTTTTAATATAAAACTTTATAATTCCTTTCAAACAAACAAAAATCACGCTATGCTGTTGTCCTTAAACAACAACGACACAACAACAACAGTAGTTGATTATTTGCTTATTTATTTAGAGCTCCACCTAGTTAACTTTTTATTTTGGTAATTGCTTTTATAAATAAACTTTTATTGTAAGCAACAAAAAAAACAAAAAAAAACAACAGAAGTGTTCATGGAACATTTAGAAAAAAACTAGCCTTGAACGTGTATTTTAACTAATAACTAGATTTAAAAATAATCGTACGATTTTTATTTACGCCTATTCTAAAAGTGAGATTATCAAAAAGAATAAAGCTGCCTTCTTCTACCTATCTCTGCTCTACAATCATTGATCACAATTTCTTATCTAAAATGGACAAGATATTTTCTTACGTGTGATGTAAATAAATAATTTACAGGGGGAACTAAGTTAGCCGCATCAGAACACTCTTAGTTGATGAGATAATAATAATAATATACCCGGCCGATAGCTGCTACCTTGACGTGGTGGTCGGGCTTGCATATCGCAATGACCCAACAAGCTACACTGGCTGGAACCAATGTTCCTGCAGGTCCTACCATGTCCAGGAAGGTTGTTAGGATATCAATTAGACTAAAAGCAGTCACCGGCATTATGTAAGAATCTTTCCTACACTCTGCTGGGGAATAGGGATGTAACAGCAGTGAGGTGTTTACCTCAGATGACCAGCATGCCAGCCACATATGCTGTCTCTCCAATCCGGAGAGAGAGGGTTACCCTACGGTGATCCAGCGGTAAGTTTACTAATACGGAACCAAACCAAGAAACCAGTTCATACAGGCCGTGTGTGACCGGCCTCAAGCAGTTGTCCCCTGCTCTCTGCCATCACGTAACACTAACCCTCTTTCTGTTTCAGGTACCCGAAGAACCAATCAACTTCCACTGTGTGGGCAGCCGGGAAGTAACAACCGCCCACACACTTCCAAAAGCACACGAAGCCTTCCTGAGCATCATTCTCCTTTACTCACATCACCTTAAGATAATATTAATTTTGAGAAACACGAAGGAGTCAGATTTATTAACAACACCGTATCTACACCTTTGCGCTTTGTAGACATTCAATACATGCGTGGTGGGGAACTAGACAAGTTTCTCAGGTTTGAATGAGTGGCGAGTAGTGGTGGGCAAATCTTCTTCAAGTTGAACTAAATGAGCAAACTCACCGAAGGGTCAAAACTATATTCCTTAGGGTGAAAGCGGAATTACAGTGTTATCTATTAAGAGAATTTGTGACAGTCTTTCGATAAAAAAAGTAATGAGAAAGTTACCTCATACTATTTTTAGGCACTTTAGCCGAACTTGCCTAACTATGGATCTGCAGATCATAACCTATTTGGCGACGTAAATGTCAGCAAAACGGCGAGGAAAGATGCAGTACTATAAATACAACTGCTGAATACGACTATTTGGAGACCTCACACACCAAGTAGCAGTGCTCACTAGGGAGATCGATGTTATATGATGGTTCTTGTGACAGACTTAGAGCCACACACTTTTGGTGTGAGGGTTGATGATACTACCAACTTGTCTAGGGTTAAGTAGGAGGAACAGGACTCGAACACATGACGTATTAGCTGAAATTCAATTGTTTAAGCCAATAATCCACCTCTTCATGATGGAAATAACTTGATTGTCTTGATAAGTCAACCTTTTTTTCATGGAGAGTTTTCAGCAGGCTTAGTGAGTAAATAGACCAAGTCCATTAGATGAAGTCATTAAACAAGATTTCGGCTCTTGTAATACGGTCGGTAGGTGTTTTACGGTTACGAAATATAGTGTGAGTCAGTAGTGCTGTAATGGAAACGCTAAGAGGCCTATTTGATTTCGAGTAGATACATGCGGCCCATTTGGTAACATTCATCTTGAACCATTTTTGAACCATATCTATAAAAGAATGTGCTATTCAGCCAGTTTAGTAACACATTCAACAAAAATTCCCTAGGCGTTGAAAATTAGATCATATTGAGTGTTATTTCCATCTCTCTTAGTCACTTCGATATCTTTGATACAATCAAATCAATATTCTTTTCAAATGACTCCCTCTCTCTCTCTACTTATCTTTAAACAGTTCAAAAAAAAACTAAATAAGTTATCAGACAACTTATAAGTAACAGCACATTTGCTGCATAGAGGTCATTGCAAAATTAACAATCAATAAACTGATGAATGAGGTTATCGACGAACTTTTTGTCATAGATTCACATGATAAACTCTAACAAAGCAGATATTTAATTATTAAATAAATAAATTAGACGACAGTAAAAAGGATATTTACATATGAAAACTCTCATCATAAGTTATTCACTACAAGAAAAACAAGCAACTTTACAGCAAAGACGAGTAACACTGAAACCAGAAATATGCTGAATTCTGCTAACTGATGACACAGTTATAATTGGATGGAGGATTTCATCATGTGCTGACATCAGTTTGAGAACCACTGGAAAACCTGGGAGTACTGGACAGCCAGCTGTTTCGTCCTAGTTTGGGACTCTTCATCAGTTATAATTAATGTAAGAAATCGACAAGATACGGTAACAACATTATGGAAAGAATTATTCAATAAACAAAAAGAAAAATGCAAACACTCAACATACCTTTTACTCGATTAGCTGAAGCTGCTTGCATACACACGCCATAATTCAAACGACGAAGCATTAGACCAGCTATTTCAGCACAATTCAAAGCATACGTGAAATCACCTGATGTATATTCAAGTACATAGTGTGCATAGGCAATCGCTTCCAAGGCTAAAGCAACCATAATACTCGCACCGGGTAAGTAATTTAATATTAAAGCTAATGCAATCTGAATTGAAAAGGCAAGGAGAAAAAAAATAAGAGAAGAATACTATTACAATAGTACTAACGGAGTATATTATTATTCAAATACCTGGATCTGTGAATACAGATTTCATGAGGAACCAACATGATACAGAGTGTACACCAGTGATAAATCGAAAAGTACTAAGTGGATGTTTCATTCTATTTATAGACTATTTATCCATACACAAGTACGCGAGGGGTCACAAATCGAACATCATCTGATGAGATTGGAAAATCCCCATCTAGTCACTAAACCCAAAATCCAATGGCACAAGTTTAACTAATACAGCCATCAACATTTAATGTTATCGCAGTGTATCCCTGATGATACACGATTATTATATATTATTATTATTGTTTCCTTTAATTCCTAGAGGAACATAGGGCTTCAGCCGCACGTCTCCATTGCGTTCGGTTCTCTGCTAGAGTTTTCACCTGGCTCCAAGTCTGCCCACACGCTTTCATCTCGTCTTCACATGACCTCCTCCAAGTCACCCTTGGACGACCAACTCGCCGATTCCCTTTCGGGTTCCACTCGAGGTCTGTCGTGTGAAGTCACTTGATGATACACGAGTAGATGCATTCCAATCGATCATTCTTCATTAGAAATTCGTCTTGTAACAAGTCACCTGTCTGTCTGGATTCAACATAGAACTTGGCACCGAAGTGCAGCAGTTCGAGTTGCCACGTTCCAAATAGCACACAAAGGTAGACAAGAAGATGAGTGAAGAGAACCAATAGAGTTTTGACAAGTATAAGAGTGAAACAGAATGAGTAATGGTAGAAAGGAATATGGAAGATTACAGAGACTGAATACATCTGCGCCATTGACAACGATTTTGAGCCATGTCACCTATTGTCTCCAGCCATTGATTCTTAGAGTCCCGAGGGCCCCAACCTGGAAGTCTGCATCTCCCTAACTGACTCAGTTTAACTGTCAAGGATTTCATGGATTGATGGCATGTTTTTGTTTGGCCACCACTTACTCTTTTCCAACCTGCACCTATATCAGCTAGTAATGCCCGTCGGGGCAGGCGATGGTTAGGCATGCGCAGCACGTGACCTAGCCATCTCAAACTATGTAGCTTTATAGCCTCGTGGAGTCACCAACGAACGCTCAATTGAAATTCGGTTGTTAAGCGAAACAGAGTGAATGAGTGATGCTTATTGTGCTTAAGGCCTAAGAATCTAATAAACAGTTAGTAGGTGTAACACACACATGACCTAATAAAGAATGATAATCAATTGTCTAGACAACTCAAACTGATTAACCATTGCACAAAAGGAGAAAGTAATCAGGTTTATTCACTATGACCTTTAAGTTAGAATGACGTTTACTGTTTTGCTGATTAAAAGATTTGTACGCTGAGATGAGCAGATTGACAGTCAAGAATAACGAATACTTACAGTCTATCATACAAGTCTATGAGTTATGAAAGTATATATATATATATATATATATCAAAATTTATAAAGGTGGTAAGTTCTTTCCCAAATATCATCTTTACTTGAGAAAATATTATTTATTATTATTGTTTCTTTTAATTCCTAGAGGAACATAGGGCTTCAGCCGTGCGTCTCCATTGCGTTCGGTTCTCTGCTAGAGTCTTCACCTGGCTCCAAGTCTGCCCACACGTTTTCATCTCCTCTTCACATGACCTCCTCCAAGTCACCCACCCTTGCACTGACGACCAACTCGCCGCTTCCCTTTCGGGTTCCACTCGAGCAATGGCTTGTCTAGTGATGTCACTTGATGGTTTCCTCAGAGTATGACCAGCCAATCCATCTCCATTTCTTCCTGCCTATTTGTTTCACAATCGGTTCCTGGTTGGTTCGCTCATTGCCAGAGATCCCTGTTGCTGATCTTTTCTGGCCATCTGATCTTGAGTATTGAGCGAAGACAACTGTTAATGAAGGTCGAAAAGCGCGTCAAACAATCGAGAAAATATTATTTCCCTTTCACAAATTGACATCTAGAGAACGACTAAAACCCAAAGAAGAACTGATATCTTCAGCAACATTAAGGCACAATCCTTTTTCAGTCTGAGACTAGGACTACTTCGTCTAGCAATGAGTACATTATTATTTATCCAAAGAGTTCAGATTCAAAAATTCATCATGTCTTTTCACACTTATGAACAGAGCAAATAATCTTTATAGGCAACTAACTTAATTGTCCTTACTAGTCACAGCTGCCCTAGGCCAAGACAAAACAAGTGAGGAGTGTTTCGTGACTGTGCAATGACAATTCAACTTATGTCTATTCGTCATACAAACTTATTCTTCCAGCTCAACTACTAATAGAGAAGTTTAAGTGTATGCAGATATACCTTCGAAACTGTGAGAAAGTTATCTTATCGAAGAAATGTAGGACATCACGTATTTCTAATTAAATATTATCGCGGCACACTGACATCGCATGATCGTGTACGCATTATCGTTTTCTATTATTATCGTGACATGAGCCGTCTATAGGCAGAATTGGGGTTACTTTCGCCTAAAACTTACTTCAAACATAGTGAATGACCAAAGACGCTATAAGTATCGCATGAATAATGACTACCAATTAGAAATCTCAATAGTTGAATTTTAACACAATAGCTTAGTAATAATGTACTAGATATTAGAAACCAATGAAAGTAGTAATACGCTAAACATCTAAACATAAATTATACGGTCTACATGTTATTCTTTCTCCGTTTCAGCAAGGAGGTTACTTCAACTGCATATCAGTTAAAATAAACGATAGCTGGTCTTTTGCGTCGGTGGCATAGCGGTTAGGACGCTCGCCGACCATGCGCATGGTCCGGGGTTTGATCCTCAGTCGATGCACTCCTTTACCTCGCTAAGCCAGACATAAAGCTGGTGAAGAGGAAAGGTTGGACATGAGGCTAGCAACCCTATCCTGTAAAATAAACACTGCTACAGAAACTTCAAGCCACTAGCTTGAAGCGCTATGTTTGACTGGGGAATGTGAAGGAAAAAAAATGGTCTTCAAGAAATATATTTTTTAAGTATTGGTGTTTTAGAGATTTTGTTTGATTGGTTGGAGGATTTCATCACGAGCTGACATCAGTTAGAGAACCATTGGAAAACCAAGGGGGAGTACTGAACAGTTGTCCCAGTGGATTAATGGTCTACGAGCTCGCCTTGTAACTAGGACGTGATGAGTTTGAGCCCCACTGGGTGAGTACCGATGAAGAGTCCCAAACTAGGACAACGGAAACAGCTGTCCAGTACTCCCCTCTGGTTATCCAATGGTGCTCTAACTGATGTCAGCTCATGATGAAATCCTCCAAACAATCAAATATATATTTTGTTTCAGACTTATTTACACTTTTATATGTCATCCATCCTGTTGTTTATTAAAGTTAAAGAACATAAAACACGATAACTGTCAGCAACAGCTATCAGGCTTTATAAACAATTCTGTTCAGGTGGAAGACAAAAACACAGACGAAGAAAAAGGCTATAGTCACGCGTGCATATTTCAAGCGCATGTGTCTGACTTCAGCAGACAGACAAATACAACAGTATTTTTACATTATTTAAGTAACAAAAAATAATAATAATAATAATAGGAAATACTATCAACAAACCCGATAGATTTCTGCTGCTTTCCGTGTTTTGTCCGTATTCAACATTAAGCATCCATATTCAATAAGCAGATTAGCGTATATAAGATTACGATAGCCAAATACAGATCTGTTTTTGTTACAGACAAAACAAAATCACGGGGGTAAAGACAGAAACACACATACACACACATAGAATACAATGAAAGACAATAAAAACATTTAAAAACAAAACTATTGCTACACTACAACATCATCATATCAAAAATCAAAATTCAGATAAACTTTGTTTTATTGGATGGAGGGGATATCATCATGAGCTGACATCTCAGTTAGAGAACCCCTGTCAGCTCATGATAAAATCCTCTATCCCATCAAACAAAATCCTTACAAAACCAATACTTGGAAACTTTGTTTTCTCCCGTAGTAATCAAGCCATCAGATTTAGCTTCTATTCCTTTCAGTATATATGTGTCGCTTTTAATATTTTCCGATAAAGGCCACGTTATTTATAAACGGGAGTATCTCTAACTGGCAGAGTATAATAGATAATAATGGCATTATTCCAAACAGTCACATTTGATACATTTTGAGATTCTCAGCATGTAGTAGTGCGGCGTGTGCCCCTGATAAGATTTATCAGTAGTATAGTAAGAGACCTTCATAGGCATAAGAACATCAAATAGCAGGGAGGATAGACTTGATGACACAAAAAGCAAATGATTCATCGTTGCGGAGAAACATGGGAGATGTGAAAGGAACACGAAGAAACATAATATAAGGGACAGAAGTAGTACAACACGGAAGATCTGTGCAAATGGTGCGTTGAAGGTAAGGTGTACATAATTTAGCTATATAGCGATACCAAATTGTAAATAGATATTCCTCTACCAAGTCTGTCGTCTTTCGCTATTACAGTAGAATATTGCATTTAATTTTCTCTTTACATCACATAGTAAGGAAGACATAATTAACAGGTTATTTACATTGATAATAATTTCAATAAAGCTATGAATGTAGAGTGTAAAGTAGAAATAGGGATAAAATATGTAACAATGAAAGGAAGAATAAAAAGGGCCATTTAGTAACTGTTTTGCAGTAAGTTACCAGTTTCATACCTAACACTCTTCCCATCATACAAAGTGGGTGCTAAATAAGGCATCGTAGTTTTCATACTTAGTTGTCAAAGCATAAAATCTTTTAGAATTACCTCCAGTCCCTTCCTTGATGAGATAAAAAGGGAGAGTTTTTGAACATAGGGCTTCAAGCTATGGCTTGAAGTTTCTGTAGCAGTGTTTATTTTACAGGATGGGGTTGCTAGCCTCATGCCCAACTTTTCCTCTTCACCAGCATTATTTCTGGCTTAGTGAGGTAAAGGAGTGCGTCGGTGGCCGGGGATCGAGCCCCGGACCATGTACGGAACAAGGATGCTCAGAGTCCAATTTCTTCGATAAAATCCATGTGTTTATCTACAACAGTATTAACAAGCTGGTTAAGCGATACTCTACTCACCCTACCGACAGCTTTTGATGTCATCTGGAATGTAGCGAAGCCATTTTTTTTAAATTATAGCTTGATTCCACACCGTATTTCGGTACAAGTATGGAATTTTCAAGCCGACCAATTGATATCAGGTGTGCGTCGGCAGGGGATCGAACCCCGGACCATGTGCATGGTCGGTGAGCGTCCTAACCGCTGTGCCACCGAAGCACAAGATTAAGTGGGAACAATAGAGAAAAAGTTGAATACAAGGATTAACCAACTGTGAAGCTACAGACTGAGTAATTACCAGATTGTCTTAACTTCTTCACGTAGAAGGTTAGGCAAAATATCTTTCTAGAAGAAATAAATATTCAACTTAGTTTCGACAACTTGAATCGAGTATATAGACAGAGTTTTAAACATTTTACCGTAACTAACATCAAATACCCAACTCAGATTAATACTTAAATAAAACAAATAAACAAACATTTATTATTTATCAAGTTTGACCACGGTTTGATATCAGTTAGAGAACTATTGAAAACAAGCTGGGAGTACTGGAAGCTAGCTGTTTAGTCCTAGTTTGGGAATCATTAGCAGTACGCGCACCCACCACCAGAGTTCGAACCCAGGACCTTCCGGTTACAAGGTTAGCGAGCTCGAATACCATTCAGCCACTGGGACCCGATTCAATGGCCAGTGCATGAATTCTAACTTCTACCAATTCGTGATTTAGCGCGACCACCAACCAATGTCATCGGTGGGACATCCATCCTCACACGTGACATCTGGATGGACCTCACTGGTCACGACTTCTCACTAGAACACTCCATGAAACTCCGTCCTGTAGCAAGTCACTAGCTAACATTTATTTATTTGAAAAACATTAAATGAACTAGATTTTAACAATCAACTAATTCAATAAAACAGTTTAGTATTAACAATACAAAAATGGTTGACCTGAAACGATGAAACAGGATGATTACAAAAAAAAATATTTGAGGGAATGATTCTATTGTTGATAGTATTTTATAAATCTAGAGAGTTATAAGGCAATCAACCTGAACACGATTCATCTAGGCAAAAGAATAAAATAGTTTAGCAAAATGAGTAATAATCAGGAGATTTGTTTAATGTTGAAAGTATATCTTAAAAGTATTAGAAGAAGATTTGCTATGACCTTGTCTATTTGAGACTTAATCAACTTCTTAGAACACTCAAGTTAATTAAAAGTGAGGTCAGTCAGTTATAAAACAAACGAAGGCCTTACTCAAACATATAAACATACTTGAACAGAAAATAAGAGGGAGAAAAACATCCACAAAAAAGGGAACAAAGTAACAGTAATGCGAAAAAGAAATTCAAGATATAAAGATGAAAGGGACAGGATGAAGGATGGATAAAGAGTTAAAGTATAAAACGGTTATTTCATTTTTTTCAATAATACAAGCTGAAAGATCCTAAAGATCACTAACGGTTGATCAACTAGTCACAAAAACACATACACACACAACACAATCAAAAACATACACATTAATTGCAAATTGAAGCTTATAGAAGAACTTTAAACCACTTATTGACGTATAGGCAGACGATAGATAACACACCGAAGGATCAAAGTTAAGTTTCTAGTGAAGAAGGCAAATTCATTATCAAAGATGATTACAAATTTCTTCTAATTTCATCTATTTATCCCCTTAATGAACTTGCATAAAGCAAGAACAACAGTTTTTGCAGAATAAAATGGTACCATCATTTATTTCGTTAGCTTCTCATCATCTGCTTACAGGCCAAAGTCATTATTAAATATATCTACAGAAACAATTTTAATATACTTGCACAGAGTTCATTTTTAAACAAAACAATCAATCAATATATGCATACAATAATAATATATACATATATATGTAATGATAAACACTTTATCCCGAACAATAATGATCATACACAATGGAAACTTTCGATATTACGTAATCAGATGAAAGAGAGGTGGAAATATCCAGTTACCAGTGGCAAAGAAAGACTGATAACTGTTTCTTTCTGAACGCATAAATCAGGTTTCAGGCGCTTGATGGAGATGGCTTCAGCAAACTTCAGGAGAATTGAACTCTTTTGCCTATTGATAATTTTGAACGATCTTGCGACGTCCACCTCATGACCCGTGTCAAGGAGATGCCTGGCGATGGCACTGTTTAAAGCATTTGTTCCCTTTAGACATAAGCTTTTTGGTACATGTTCAGAAAATCGTAGATATGCCCTTCTTTCTGTTCTTCCAATGTGACTACTCCCGCAGATACATGTAAATTTGTATATACAGTTGGAGTTAACATGAGAAGGATATCTATTGATTTTTGATTGCACCAAAGAGCATGTTGTTCTATAGAGTGGGACGAGCTTGGCTGCAGGAAAGGCTCTGCCTAGTGACGTCCTTAATCTTCTGTTGACAATTGCTGTAATATTTTCACCTTTATAATCAAGTTGAATGTAGATTGGCTTTTTCTCCACTGTGATTTGTTTGACATTTGAGACTTCAGATCTTCCATACTTGTTAATGAATCTTTGAGGGTAACCATTGCTTTTCAACATCTTTTCAAGATAAAACAAATTCTTCCTCTAATTTCTCTACAGAGCATAATCTCCTAGCTCTATAGTATAGAGTCTTGACTAGTCCACGTTTAAAGCTATTTGGACAAAAACTATTACAATGTAGGTACTGTCCTTTCCAAGTAGTAGGCTTTCGGTAAATGAGGGGGAGAAAAACACCCAGAACACCCAGGGAACAAAGTAACAGATATGCGAAATAGGAAATCCAAGATAAAGATGAACAATATGTGTGTGTGCATTTGAGGTTCAAAATATGCATGTATGTATCAATCGTTGTATATATATCAATCAGCTTACATTGATTGTTCTCTTCCAGTAATTGAATTGTAAAATCAGTGAGATAAGAGGCTAAAATCAACTTATTTTTTTTCTATAGAGAAAAGGCCACTTAACTAGAATTATTATGCTATTGATTTGACAACAATAATTCAACCACTATAATCATCATGATTGATCATATGGCATAGTTAAAAGACGGAGAAAAATTCATTTAAAAACAAATTACGCTTAACACAGTCTATGATCTATTTCTATGAATTAATACAAATACAATAGATATTAAGAATACGCTATTAGAATAAATGAATGACTTCAAGTTATCCACTAAAAATATACGAACAGGAGTTTTATAGCTGCTCATGTAAACAAAAATGACCAGAAAATGGTGGATAAAGGGAGGAGTCTGTGGTGTGTGTGTGCGTGTGTGTACAATCGATATTTCTTAGAACTGGATTTAAGTCAGACCCATACTAGGAATTTCGATACCAAAATAAAGTACTATGAATATAAGAAGACACTACAAACAATCTATGCGTCGGTGGCACAGCGGTAGAGTGCTTGCCAACCACGTAGGTGGTCCGGGGTTCGATCCCCGGCCACCGACGCACTCCTTTACTTCGCTAAGCCAGTAGTAAGATTGGTAAAGAGAGAAGGTTGGGCATGAGGCTAGCAACCCCATGCTGTAGAAATAATCACCACTGCTACGGAAACTTCAAGCCTCTACCCTGAAGACCTATGTTCCACTGGGAACGTAAAGGAATAAAA